TTTTTTTTTTTTTTTTTTTTTTTTTTTTTTTTTTGTCAAGTAAAAATCGTCGAGTTGTGCATTTGTCATTTGCGCTAGAACTTTAATGGCAAAATGTGTAGAAATATGAATCGGGAGAGGAAAAATTTCTTTTAAAATGATATATTGAGGAAATGTGTGCGAATCTAGTTTAACTAGCAGCAAATGTTTCGGACAGTTGAAGTAACTTTACAGCGATTTTGTAGCTCTGTAAGCAGTAAGTTAGGATGTACGGAACAGACAGTAGATGATAGTTTATAAGTAATCAAGTCTTGTTGATTACAATGTCAATTATAGCCAAAATTATTTTCATAGAAAATTGTGAATTTTTCTTCACTTAATCAAGAGCAAGTTTAATAAACTCCAAAAGAACTAAGTCAAATATGAACAAACACTTGAAATGGGCTTAATGAACTTTTGTGTTGAAGAGCATTGTCAAGTGAAATGCAATCAACTTGTATTAATTGAATTTGTTCATTCAATTAAATCAAATTGGAAATGAATTGTAAATAGTCAAAAAGTGAGATAAATGATTGATTTTTTAGCTATTTAAAGTATTTAATGTCTATGCAGTTTATTTATATATTTTCTTAGTTATATTTATGCAGGTCAAATATGCATATATTTAACGCGTTGAAGTCCATTTGCTTAATGGCAATGGAATGCTTTGGTAGCTCTTCGAGAGATTATATAATAATAAAAATAATTCACTTTATGCTTCAATGCAATTGAATACTTAATGCTAAGTATCTTTGTCTTTATCTATTTATTAACTTTAATCGACAGAGAAACTTCCATATATAAAAACTCTGCTCAACGTAGCTCTATAACTGAAGATTTCCAGTATTTTTTAGACAAGGTATATGAAGAGTTTAGTATTTGTGTATATATTAAATATGGTTAACATTTCTCCTTCATGAGAATGCGCTATGTTTGTGCATATTATAAATACTGAACTCTCTCCCATTTGCTTTGTCTACACGAGACTCAAAACTAATGCAATAGACTCTGTTCAAATAACTGTTTAAAGAACCATAAAGCAACTGCAACTGCAAAAGCAATAGCAACTGTTTATTAGATATATAAAGATATATATAAGCTTTAAAATACTTGCAAACAGGAAAAGGCTGTGGCCAGGTCAAAGTATTTCCTTTGCAGAGCGCACAGAGACTGGCTGCCAAAATGCTGCAATGATAATGCCCAATGTATACAGAGAGAGAGAGAGGGTGAGTGAGAGGGGGGGGGGGATTGAGAGGGGACTGCCAGTAGGATGTATTCAAAGTGAAACTGCTTTTTAGTCAGGCAAGTAAAAAGCAACAACAACAACAACAACTGAAACAACAATAACTTACAGACAGGCAAAACACGATCGACAAAGCCCGATGGCAGGACAAAGTTCGCCACGTTGACGCCGCGAGGCAGACCACCTACAAGAATGCAGCCAAGGTAAAAAGAAGAAGATGACAACAAAAACAACAACAACAAAAAGGAAGAAAAGAAAATTCCGAGAAAAAGAGAGCGGGAAAAAATACAGTCATAAAATTGGAATGGCAACTGCAGGCGATGACGACGACGACGACGACGACGTTTGCGGCAATGCAACTTATGCAAATTTATTGGAAAATGCTTGGCAATATTTTTGCTGTTCTTCTTTTCTTCTGCTTTACTCCAGCTTTGCTCCTTTTTTCTTTTATTTGTTGAGAATTTTCGCTTGGCATTTTTTTTGTGCTTTTGTGCCATAACTTTTTGCATTTTATTTGTACATATCTAACGTCTTTTGCAGTACGTCTTCAATTTTATTGCCAGCGGAGTAGGATAGAGATAAACAGTGAGAGAGAGAGGGGGGGGGAGCGTGAAAGGGAGAGTCAAGGTAGAAAAACATTGCAGGCAAAGTGTGCCTGACCAGGCGCTGCTCTGTTTTTAAAGAAAGTTGGAAAGCTATCTAATTGAAAGAGGCTCTAAAACTGTAGAGCAATTACTCTCAAAGTGGCGGGAGAAGGGGAAAATGGAAATAGATTTTTTTGAAATTATCCAAGGTAAATTGAAGACAGAGTTAAGAACAGATTAACAAAATCTTCTGCGTATTCTGAAGATGCTTCTTATACTTATACGAAGTACTATCATATTGAGATTCTCGGGAATAGATAATGTAATATATAAGGGCGAGCTATAAGTCTAACAGATAATTGTGGCTCAGCGGTAAGATAAATAGATATGCTTATAATACAATACAAGAACTTCTATCGAACATCAGAAACTATAGTAAGAAAAGTGATCTAATTGATTCATATGCTAATTCCAAGAACAGTGACTGTCAAACTGTGGGTCAAGCTAGTATCCAACATCTATGAACATTTGCGATCTCTCAAGATGGCGAACTTCATCTGAATTATAACATCTGCCAATAGCTCACTCTGCCTTCCATTTCCAAAACAATCAATATACCCATTTCTCTACACCCACTCAGCGCATAAGAAATGCACTTGTGGGGCGTGGTCATGCAGTAGGCGTTACGTCTATTTGATATGCAAGTGCATTTGAGCTCAATTTTCAAACGTGAGAGCTCTGCACACACAAACAAGAGAGAGAGCGAGAGAGACAAAAGCTGAAAAGAATGCGAATGCGAGTGTGGGTATGGGTGTGAGTGTGAGTGTGAATGCGAGTGTGAATGTGAATGCGAAGAGCATCTTGGCAATAACTTCATATTGAATCAAGTGAATAAGTATGCATGCCTTGCATATCTGCATATATGCCACGCCTACAGCCCACACACACACACACACGCATAGTCAGAGAAGATTGGCAGTGGAGCAAACAATTAATCAAGCTGGCAACCAACGGACTAAAAGCTAAGAGCATCAGCATTCGGTTCATTGTTTTATAGAGACTGTGTTGTACCCTGTCAGCATTAGCAGCTAGTAAAACGGGTAGATTAACTTGAGTGAGTACATTTTGGAAGGAAATTTGAAGCATAAATACATATGTATATAGATATATAGATTATTGTTCAAATCTTGAACTTGAGTAAGTAAAGTAGGAAGTAAATTTGATTGCTGAATTATATGTATAAATTATTGTTAATATCTTCTGGGTTTTATTGATAATTTACTCATGCTCCCATATATATTTTTAGAAGAGTTTTTTGAAGAAAAATATGCCAAAGACTAAAGAGTATATCTGTTTAATTCGACTTTTGTATACTCTATCCATGCACCAATGAGCTAAGAATGAGAAGCATTGCCCCTATTGACTTTACAGGGCAACCTCTAGTAGTTGCCTTCACTTCCACTTCGCTCGAACTTCCTGCTTATGGTGGGGCCATCATTAATTTGTTGGCCAATTGTTTGTTGTAGCTGTTGTTGTTGTTGTTGTTGTAGCTRTTGCTTCGAATGCTGCTCGAAATGCTTACAGCGTTTGCCATTGTCATTTTGATGTCCATTTTCTGCACCAGAGCACAAAACACATTTTTATTTCATTCGGCTGGATATGATTTGTTTTTCCACTGTAGCGCATGCCACATGCCACAGCAACTGCCGCAGCTGCCACTGCTGCCCCTGCTGTTGCTTACTTAAGCTGCTTAGGCGAGTTTTTGTGCAGCTGCGTCTGAGGGCGTGGCAGCCAGATCCTCTGCCACTGTCCTGTTTAGTGCGCTGCGTAATTAATTATAACGAAAATCATTTATTCTGCCTTTGGCTTTCCCGTTGCCTTTGCTGTTGCTTTGCCTTTCCCGTTGCCTGTGCTGCATGCGCCAAAATCTGTGCAGTTGCCACTGCTGCTGCTTCTTTTTAATCTACTTTGTGCAGATGCTCATATGAATATATTCCCTAATTGGGCTGGCTTAGTCCAAAGATCTTGCGCTATTTAAAGTCTTTTTTCGGGCTTAAATAAAGTTCAAACTATTCATTCGACCACTGATTTCTAGTCCCAGTTCCAATTGTAAAGAATATAAGACATACGATAGTGGGTTTCATGCACACATTCAATTCGAATTCCAAAGGAAGGAGCACATGGACATTTCAATGAGTATAAAGATATTTATTTATCATCTATTCATCTAAATGACATCATCATCATCTATATATCATCTCTAATGATAACTACCATCTGTAAAATATTGGCTATCCCATCCCTCATCCAATTAAAATTTCAGTTATTTCCTAATTGAAGCAAATGTTTTCTTCGAGCCGATTGAAATGTAAACAAAATTTATTTGCGAATTCAGAAATATCCGAAACGTAAATCTTGAGCTGGCAAGCGCAGCTAATTGAAATTATCTGATAATTAATCAGATTTGCATATTATATTTATTGTATGCATATAAATAGCACGGCGTTCCTCCCAGTCCCAGTAGTTTGACCTGATTTGGCCAAAGCTGTTGCCAGACAACATCTGCATCGTGCATATCATACACACAATTAGGGCAAAGATTTCATTTGAGAGCTGTGTTCTCAGAATTTGGTAATTTTGCATTTTGCATTTTGCATTTAAGTCTTGGAAATTGGCTTTGGCTTTGGCTTTTCTTGTTTGTGCACTTGTGGCAGCCATCCCATTTGGTTAGCTGTCAGACATTAGATGCGCTCGCTCTCGGCTCTCAGCTCTCAGCTCTCAGCTCTGCTAATGGATAAACTAAATTAGGGCACTTTGTGTGGCATGCAGCAGGGCAACACAAAGCAGTTAAACAGACACATCATTTACCAAATATATATACATATGTGTCTATGTATATGTGCCCACCTGCTCACCTGCTCACCTGCTCACCTGCCCAGCAGTCGGCAGCTGGCAGCTGGCAGCTTGGCTGATTGCAACAACTGCGACAGCAGCAGCTACACAATTTAATTAGCTGAGCAGGCGCCTTGCCAGCCATGTGAACTCCCCCCACATTAACTCGTTTGCCACAAAATTATTTCATTTTTTATGTTCGCTTAGCTGATGTCAAAAATTTGTGCACGACTTGAGTTGAACTCGTCCATTTTGTACGTCTCGGCGAGTGCTCACTGTGCCAGCAAGTTGGCAAATCAATCAAATGCTTTGTCTGACTAAATCAATCAAACAGTCAATTGTGCAGTCTCTTTGTGCATATGTGTGCGTGTGTCTGTCGAAATTGGCTGGCCGGAATGTATATAAATCACGTATACGCACGAGTGTGCGTGCACAAGGTTGCAAGCGTGTAGCAAGAAAGCAAGGCAACTCGAAGACTTTGTGGCAAAAGCTAAAAGATACTCAGCTTACACTGCGAAAAAGTAATTGCAGGTTGTAAATTTTAAGTGGCTGAAAAAAAAAAATATAGAACATACATATATAAAATATATAATTAAGATATTGTGATAATTGACTTTGTGAAATCGCTCAGCTCGAATTCTCTTCTTTAGTTGAGGACATTCTCATCATAATTTTTATCATTTATCATAATTTAGATAAATATCGATAACATTATAGTAATAAATGCTCTGGTTACTTCAAAAAAAAAAAAAAAAA